CTTGTACTCCCTATCTCTCTCATTCTTGCAACCTGTTTTCTCCTCCCAATCAAAGAGCTTTCTCAAAGTGCTACTGCTACTCAACGTTAAACACAATGTCTCAGACATCATCTTCCACTATGGCGGCTTCGTCTCACTCATCATCATCGTCATCTGATCACGATTCTAGGGCAATCACGACATGCATAGAATCTGAAGTACTTGAGGTCACTCCTCTCAGGGAGATGGCAACTAATCCAGCCAAAATCAAGAAGCTCAGGACCAGACATGCAGGAAGAGCTCAAGCTGCAGTCTCTGGTAATTCTTCTCTTCCTTCATCTACTATACCTAATAAAGAAGGAACAGTGCAAGTACACCAAGCCATTGCTAGACTGGTTACTAGCATTCTGAGTGGCAACCAATCTGTACCGGGGATTTCTATTCCTCTGAATCAATCTGAGAGTCCAAATGTGGAAGGTTCTGAAAATATAGATGTCACTGAGGATGTTGTGACACCAAAAGACAACATTCAGAATCCCTCTGAAAAGGCTGCTGATCCACCTATCATTGATGTGGATGAAGAGTACTCAGATAATGAACTGATTGCTAATGTGAACCCTAGCATTGCTAGGAGATTGATGAAAAGAAAAAGTAGTGAGACTGTTAAACCTAAGAAGTCCAAGGCTGAAGGGATGGCTGAAAGAATTCAGACTAAAGGGAAGAAGGCACAGGTGCTGACTGCTAGACAACCAATCTCCAAGAAAAGAAAAGAACCTGAAACTTCTGACTCTGATGATGAATCAGAATTTGAGATTGACATTGACAATGCTCCCATCAGAAGGAAGCTCCCTTCCAGCAAGATTGCTAGAGTGCCTGAAGTGCCAACTGACAACATCTCCTTTCATCATCCTGATAATGCAAACAGGTGGAAGTATGTTTGCTTGAAGAGAATAGCCTTGGAGAGAGAACTCAACAATGATGCTTTGGAGTGCAAAGACATCATGGAGCTGATCAGGAATGCTGGACTAATAAAGACTGTGATGAAGTTTGGCAAATGTTATGAAAATCTGGTTAAAGAGTTTGTAGTGAACCTATCTAATGATTGTGCTGATGGGAGGTCAGCTGACTTTGAGAGTGTGTTTGTTAGAGGAAGAAGGGTCAAGTTCTCTCCATCAGAAATCAACAAGTTTCTTGGAAGAACGAATAAGGACTGTCCTGATCTAGAGGCAACTGACAATGAAGTATGCTTGACCATCACTGCCAGGCAAGTAAAGTGCTGGCCATTGAAAGGGAAGTTGAATGCTAGTAAACTCAGCATGAAATTTGCCATCTTGCATAAAATAGGTGCAGCAAACTGGGTGCCTACAAATCACAAATCAACCATCTCCACAGGATTGGGGAGATTCATCTATGCTGTAGGAACCAAGACTGCCTTTGATTATGGAAGGTACATTTTTGAACAAACCTTGAAGCATGCTGGCAGTTATGCTGTCAAAGGACCAATTGCATTTCCCTCCCTCCTTTGTGGAATCATCCTTGCACAATATCCTGACATACTTGTAGCAAGAGATACAGTCTGCAAAAGAGCCCCTGCCCTTGGCCTGCACTACAAACTGTTTCAGGGATCCCATGCTCCAGACATTGTCATAACATCAGCTGAGACATCGTCTGCAAAGAGCCAGTCCAAAACATCAGATGTCATAGCTGTCTTAAAAGAAACTTGCAAAGATCTGGATGCTAGGAAAAGGACCCTAGAAGCACTAATTGCCAAGCTAGAAAAGGAAGAAGCTGAAGCAAGCATGAGGGAAGAAGATGAAGGACAGTCCAACAGTGAAGAAAGTGGCTCCTCTGAGTCTGATGACAGTACTTGAAGGATGATTGCTGCGTGGTGGTGTTGCTGGTGGAGTTTGGAAGTATGTCCTGCTGTTGTCTGCTGCTGTTGTCTGGTGTTCTGCTGCTGATCTCATTATTTTGTCTTGGATAACTGTATTACTTATAAACATGTAATCTTTGGCCCATTTGTGGCTAAAGTGGGGGAGAATATTTGGTACTGCTTAATTAGTACTTAACACTATATTTTTCTGCTGTCATCATTTATTTCTGCTGCTGCTGCTATCTCTGATTGTTTAGGGACTTTAGCCAAAAATCTGCCAAAGGGGGAGTTTGTAGGTGTTTAGGTATTGGCTTGTATTTTTGGTAAATTCCAAGTGTATGTGTGAATGTCATGACTGATGTCATAACATTCTAGTTCAGGTTGTACTAACTCTTTAGGTACATATGCAGAAAAATATTGTAACTCAAATACTGATGTTCATAAGTGTGTATCTGAGCATGTTTGCAAAATGATCACATTTAGCTAATCAGTAGACAGGTTTTCTCAGATGTCATAACAGATGTTATGACATCCTGTTCTGAACTAGCAGGATTACAGGATTGGATAAGTCTGAGTTTTTTCAGGAAATAACTCAGTCCTTCCTAAACAGAATCCTGCGTTTTCTGAGGAATAACCTCGCTCAATCCTAACCTGATCAACAAAGTACTGTGACCTGGACTTTAGGTCAAACGGAATCAACCCTAGGTTTTTGGAAACCCTAACTGAAGTTGCAGCTGCTATATATTCAACAGAGCTGCGGTTTTTGAAGTCATCCCTGCTGATTAATTAGAAGATCAAGTTTGTAATCTGTATAGATTTGTTTAATTGTACTCCAAGCAATTATCATTGTGATAAGTGTCTTGGAATAGGATTCAATTGTAAGGGTTGTGTAGCACTCAAAGCTTTGAAGCAAGAGTGTTTGAATGTTACTTGACTAAAGCTGTGAAGCAGAGTCAAGTTAGTTGTGTACATCACTCAAAGCTGTGAAGCACGAGTGATTGTGTTACTTGATTAAAAAGCTGTGAAGCATAATCAAGAGTGTGTTTTGAAGAGTGTCTTCATCAATTCTCAAGTCAAATTGGTTTATGTATCACTGCTGTGATTGAGGGGGAGTGAGTAGGAACTCAGGTTTAAGTTGTACTTAGATTAGAATTGCATTGGGTAGGTCTTAAGTGAAGGAGATAAACTGGTTGGTTTATTCCTGAATTAACATCTCTTATAGTGGATTCTCTCCCTGGCTTGGTAGCCCCCAGAGTAGGTGTTGTTGCACACTGAACTGGGTAAACAATTGACTGTGTTATTTACTGCTTTTGTATTTACTGTCATATAGTAAGTCAGATACAGTGTCATAACATTGGACGTGACATTGAGTATCTGTAGCCAGAATTTTCAATATTTATTTGTTTTATTTATTTATTTAGTTTTATTTATTTCATATTATTGTGAATATCATATTATTTATTGTGGTGGGATTTTAATTTCAAAAAAAAATATTTTTCAAAACCCTTAGATTCGTCTATTAGTCAAGGGGATACATCAGTCCTATGAGTTTATGTGACGACTTCGCCTAGAGACGGTTGAATTCTACAAAAGGAATACGTCTCAAGAGATATCCTCTTGGGGGTAGGACTTTAGAATGAAACATGTGACTCTTTGTATAACCCTAAAACAAAATTTCATGGTGAGACCTTGTACGACCTTCAAACCCTCACACTGTTTCCTTAAACGTGGGGGCTTGGAGGGCAACTGTTTTGGATCGACCACATGCTCAGAGATTCGGCCTCACCTTCGGAGATTTGACTACCACAATGAAAGAACTCCCTGGATTGATTCGATCCAAGCAGGTCCATTTCCAGTATGGCCACCTCCAAGCGTAATATCTCAGATCCATCTCAAGCAGACGCTAAGGCTTCTGGAACGTTCTTCTGGCTTTTAAATCTTCAGTGATCTAGAAGCAAAGATTCATCCCTCCAACATTTGTTTGCATCTCACGCTGTTTAGTTAGCGAATTAGTTATTCAATTCCTCAATATATGCGGATGGCATCATTTCAGATAACAATTTCGAACACATATTGAATACTTTCTCCCACTCACTTAGTGACTTAAGCATTGAAATACTAATCTTACAAGTACGCATTATTCCATCACACGGGAAGCTCCCCACCATCGTAGCTTCTATAACCACATCCATTTTTTATTCTCGTACGAAACAATAATGTCTTAAAAATGAAATGAAATGAATTCATTTATTTCACTTTTTAATTAATTTTTTTTATTGGTGAAATCGCATAATCATTTCACAAGTAGTAATAAAGACGAGACCTCTTTAATTTTTTGTATTACCACAAACGGAATATATATCTATTACACACATGTTTTGATTAAGTCAATCTCACTCCCATATTCGTTTTCAATTATTCTAATATTATATAAGTTCTATATTTAATTAATTTAAAGTAAATTTAAATTTTATATTAATTCCACTTTAAGCAAACTTTTTCATGTGTAACAAATAAGTCTCCCTTTATTTTTACCCTATACACAATTACACATATTGCACCGTAAATTAGTATTAACAATACTCTTAAAAACATAGATAAAAATCTTGTTTCTTTATACACCATTATATTGCACCCAACATTACACTTAAAAGTTACGTTAATTTGATGCTTTTAATCATCTTACAGTACTATAAAACTTTCATAATTTAGTTTGTAACATTTTTTTAATGTTAAAAAAAAAAAGAGACAAAGACAGCAAGGTGAAGTCTGTATAAAAGAAACACCATTCTATGTCTTTATGCAACAAATCTATACCCTTTTCTCAACCCTCTCTACCTTTTTCTTCCTACCCCATGTGCTAAAAGCAACTTCTCTTTCTAACAAAATTTTCAAATTACACACTTTTGGTTTCTTTGTTACTTTATCAATCTCATCATAGAATTGACAGGTAAAGCAAATCTTGCTTTTTTCTCTCTTTGACATCTCATTCCAAATGCATAAAAATGAAGTCTTTTGAACCTGATATTCAAGAATTTCATCAATGGTTTGTATATAACATGACCCTTCTTTCTGAATGATCAAAAATCAGTTAAAGATCAGATTTTTAAGAAAAAGTTTAGATTCTTCTGCTGTTGGTGATTCTGTCATGAAGGAGTTTCCTTCTTGTTTTGGAGAAAATGGTGTGCAGGTTGCAGATTCATCTTCATCTTCATCCTCTTCAGGTTCCACAAGAGGTGCACAGAATGTGGTTACATGTATCTACCAATGTAAGTTGAGAGGTCGTTCATGTTTGATTACTGTTTCATGGACAAAGAATTTGATGGGCCAAGGGTTGAGTGTTGGAATTGAGGAATTGGGGAATCATTGTTTGTGTAAGGTTGATATAAAGCCATGGTTGTTTTCAAAGAGAAAAGGGTGTAAGAATTTGGAAGTTGAGTCTAGTAAAATTGCTATACTTTGGGATTTGAGTTATGCTAAATTTGGTTCTGGGCCAGAACCATTGGAAGGGTACTATTTAGTTGTTTTGTTTAACAAAAAGATGGTTTTGCTTTTAGGAGATCTGAAAAAGGAAGCATGCAAGAAGATTGATTATGACAACAATGTTAGTGCTTATAATTCTGATGCGGTTTTTATTGCTAAGAGAGAACATGTTTTCGGCAAGAGATTTTACTCTGCAAAGGCTCAATTTTGTGACAAGGGTAAGATCCATGATGTGAGAATTGAGTGTGATAATGTTATTGGGAGTACTGATGATCCTTGTCTTGTGATTAGAATTGATAGCAAGATAGTGATGCAGGTGAGGCAATTGAAGTGGAAGTTTCGCGGTAATCAGACGATTTTGGTGGATAGTTTTCCGGTGGAAGTGTTTTGGGATGTTCATAATTGGCTGTTTGGGAATGTTGCAGGGAATGCTGTTTTCATGTTTCAAACTTGTGTTTCTGCTGAGAAATTGTGGTCTGGTCAATCTGTTTCTGATCCTTCTGTTATGATGACTTGGGCTTATTCTCAGCAGTTTAGAGATTCTCAGTTGCAGGGTCTTGGATTTTCTCTTATTTTGTATGCTTGGAAAAATGAGTAGTTATCTTGAATCTTATTATAGAGTGATGTTTTGATTGTTAGATACAGTTTTCAACTATTATGTGATAAGATTATTATGTAAATCTGCTAAATACTTCACCTTTTTAGTTCTTATATTATTCTATCATTCCAATGTTTGTTTTCTGTTTTTTTATTTTCAATAATCAATATTAGAATGATATTTGACTTTCAACAAGACTGAATTCTTTGGCAGAGATTCAGTTTTAATCAGCTTTTTTTTCAGTATTTGTTTCCCTCAATAAAGCAACAAATGGAAGAATGAAAATGGTTGAAAATGATTTTGCCTTCCACTCTATTGATGGTGTGAGACTGAAAAATCATGATGGTGGGACTCTGCCATAAATTATTTGACTGTTTCTAACCCTTTTTGCAAGTTACTAAGGCTTTGACATTTTAGATTGCAATTTCTTTTGCATTTAGTAGCAACTTTTAGTTGGTGAAAATTCCCTCTTTAAAATCCTCTCTTCTAAAGCTTATATGACAGATAAGTGCTGCTTATTTCTCTTACAGAAAAATACTCATTTCCACAAATCCAAATTTCTAGATTTCTTGAACATATAATCTCCAAGGCAATTTACAGAAATAATGTGAAGAAAAAAGCCTTAACATGTACTGTTGTATTAACTAAATATAAAATACAAGCAGAGGCTACATCTGAGACATAAAGAAGGAAATAATTCAATTCAAGTCACTGCTACTTCCTACGACCATACGTGTCTTCAACACCATCTGTAATCCTTTCTCTGCGCTCAGCAATCATAGCTGAATAAGCCTGACAAAGAACAAGAAACATTCTATAATTTAACTTTATCAAGATTAGTTACTTAACTTATTTTTTTGCTGTGCTGAAACTCAAATTAGTTGCAGCAGAACCTACTACACCATTGCCAATGTTAGAACACCAAATTTGGCTCTACAAAAAACATAAATAAACATAGAAGAACACAACAATTGATCCGACATCATTAATATTAAGAGTCCCTCATAAGACTTCAACTCTACAAAACCGGCTTTTAAGTCGAAGATTGTCCACTTGTAAACAAATGTTCAAACTATATAATTTTTAAATGTGAGACTCTTAACACATCTCTAACGCCCAACACTATTGGTTTTGATGCGTGATATAAATGGTGATAGCATGTAGTCCAACGGATCATGAACAAAAACTCTAATACATGTAAAGTGAGGACTGTCCAAACTTTTTAATTAGGCAATTAAGCAACTAGAGGTGGATCGCAATGAAGACGGAATTTCCAACAATTAGTATTTTCTATAATGTAATGTGTTCCGGGGCCCAATAATGAAGAGGCTCAATCATCAATCCGAGATTATATGGTATTCAAGGTCAATTAACCGAGTTCAATTTACACGAGATGTATAAAATGAACTTTATTAATTGAAGTAAAAATCTAATATTACAAGTTATTACAGATATAATCAACAGAAAAATTGTTTAGCAGACTTAGTGTACCACATAGCTTCGCTTATTAAATAAAGTCACTATAAGCAACAAACCTAGCCACATACAAAACTAAGAAAATAATTAAACCCAGAGATCATACAAATCTATATAGAAATTTAAAGAGAGGGATAGAGAAAAGTGTATCGAAATTTATAGTGGTTCAGTGCATTTGCCGTCGATAGCAACTAATCCAGTCTCGAATGATAAATCATTCTAAATTTGTTAGTCTCCCACTATTTTACAATTTTACAGCGCGTCTATCAATACAATCAGATGATCTCAGATAATGTTGAAAACTAAAATCAACAAATAAACATCTTCAATCTATATTTTCTTCTGATGTATACAACTCACGAAATTGAATTCCACAAGATCTTCACTCAATCTTGAATTGGTTCACCCTCCCAGACCCAAAGTTTGCTCCAAACCTCCATCCACAGCCGTCTCCATTCAACCATGTGAAAAGTCCCTTGTTTGGGTCTTTGATCTAACTCAAAGAACCAAAAACTCCAAACTTCGTCCACATCAACCTTCATTTGGCCCTACCGAAGTTTTCTTAGGAGAAGAAAACCCTTCTTTTTCCTTTGTTGGGTTATCGATCTCAGCTACACGTTCATCAATCCAAGATTATAAGGTATTCAAGGTACGGCTCACCCACTACCACGGACAGTATTCACCATAGGATATCATCCAACTGTTTTCCATGTTCCACATCAGAAAACAAAGGGATCTCTTACCGCCCCTCATATATAAGGTCCTCACACGAGACATGGGGTATGTTCTAATCATAACTTACTCTACTCTTTTATGAACCATTCACAAACTTAGGCATTTGAGTGTTAACCTTATAGGTCTACCCTCTTGCTGCCATACGATAAGCATACAATGCAGCATCAATCCATCACTAGTCCATACATTTTTGGTTCCTTAGGTGAATGTTTAATAGTTTAACGCTCAGAAGGTTCTGCAGCCAAATTAAGCGCATAAAAAGTGTTTATGATGCTCTAAGAATAATAAATTAATAAAAACTAGGCAATAGATGATAGCGAACGAACCTTGGGATAAGAATAAAGAAAGATGTACCACCATGCAAAAATGAGTAAGGATATGGCTGAAGTAACAACAACAGATTGAAAAACCAACCAACTAATAGCAACAATTGAAACCCCTGTTAGTGCTATTGTCCATGGCTGACACCTAGACAAAACACAAAACACATATTTCAATTAGTTCCAACAAAAAAAAAATTGGAAAACTGAAAATGACAAGGAAATAGTGAGAAGAACAAACCAAGCTGGTTTGGTGTCCCAGACAGATTCGTATTCGAGGGAAAGGTTATTGAGGTAACCGTCCATGTCATCGACCACCGCATTGTTTTCGTCCAAGAAGAGGGGATTGTCTCGTCTTGAGTCGCTGGGATTGATACCGTGCACTGGAGATGGTTTGTTGGTTGAGGAGTTTGTGAAAATGGGAGTAGAGAAACTGTGGATGTGAGAGTGAGGTGTTGGAGTTGGAGGAGAAGATGGTCGACGATGGAGGGGGGAAATCGGTAATACTAACAGAGGGACTGTCGCCATGTTAAGTGGTCAATACAATTATTATCTTCTTGTGGGGGGTTTGGATATTTTCTTCTAAAATTTACCATTTCTCTATAATATATAGGCTAAATGCATCTTGTGTTTTTAAGTTTTGTGTTAATACCTCTTATTGCTAAACATTAAGTAGGTGACTTCCCTGCTAATTGAAGGATGTTAGAGAGAGTTTCAAATAAGTGAGAGTATGTTGTTTATGATATTAAGAGATTTGGAGATTTACACAAGTATGCGTGAGCTCCAAGTGATGTGTCTTGCTTATCCTTCAGTCGGGAGCCCTTATATATAAAGGTGTATGGACCTCAATGGTCATTGCATGTAACTGTTGTGACTTTTCATTATACGTAATTGAGCTGCCATTAGGCAAGTAATGTCCCGCGTCGCCCGTGATAGTGATTATCATAACGTGCGTCGTCATGTTATTGATGAGCGGTTATGTCTTTAATAAGCCGATGACTCTATAACGGTCTCATCAAGACCGATTTTTGTGTAACCTCTAGATCCGAGGATGAGCCCGACGGGTGTCTTTTTATCTTTCTCTATGGCCGATTACACGCGTCTCCGGCTATACAATTCGGCTCAGGCATGCCGATCTTAAACCGAGGTACTAACCGACTGAGTATTCATTTGTATTTCTTTGCCTTCTAACCATGGTTTACCTTTTTATCACTCCAAACCCGGACAATGGATCTATGTATGAATATAAGCCCCATGAGCATATGGCTTTTACCTGAAGCCTTATGTTCGGTCAACGTAGATATGGATCCTTTTGCTCCGGGTCAGGCTCATAACTCGGCGTATGTGTCGCTCACGCCCTAGTTTCCCAACAGTCTCTTAGTTTTCCTAGACATAATCATTACTAAGGAAATTTTTGTAACCTACACATGTTTCCTCTTCTTCAATCGTTTATTTCCCATAACTTCTTTTCTTTATAAAAACCTTTCATTTTCTGATCTCAAAGGCTCTCCTACTTTCCTTTGCAAGTGCCCTTACTTCATCTCTTCAAAAAAATCCTTCACACGACGATCGCTTCCAGGTATTTCATCTCTTCCCTTCTACCTTATTTTTCCTGCACATTTCCTTTTATTTTTGAGAGATGGTAGTTTTACGTGAGTGTGATGAGGAGGGTGTCGTTCTAAAACCTATAAATACTGAAGAGAGACACACATTGTGGCGTGCATGCATGAGGGATTATGAGAAAGGCTTGGGTAGAGCGGAGTTCGATTGTATTGTGTTAGAAGTTTATGGGGATATATATATATATATATATATATATATATGTATATATATATATATATATATATATATATATATATATATATATATATATATATATATATATATATATATATATATATGCTTTTAGCGATTCTGACTCTGAATCTTCCTCATCGGGTTCCGTGGAAATCCTGATGGAGACTTCTGGCTCTTTTAGTGAGGAGGTGATGGGTTACGATCAAAGCTCCATGGATAAAATGGAGATAGTGAAGCTTCTCTCTTTGCGAAAGGTGTCCTCGACTGAAAACGAGGATGACGTTGTTCTGGAGGCTTACATTCCCGATGAACGGGTTTGTATATTCCGGCCAAATGGAGTACAAGACGAATGGTTTTACTTTTATATCGAGGTGCTAGAGGATATGCTTATCTGCATCCCTTTTACTGATTTTGAGGTGGATGTGTTGAAGACGGTGAATTTAGCCCCCTCTCAACTCCTCCCTAACAATTGGGGTTTTATCAAAGCCTTCGAGAGTGACTCCAACCATTGGGGTTTTATGTGCAGCGTTGGATGTGACTCCAACCATTGGTTTGTTTTTCTCTTATTTTGAAGTCAAAATTGTAGAATTTGGGAGTTGGGTTGCCATTAGCGGTGTACCCCGTAAAAGATTCCTTCAAGCCTATACCATTAATTACAAGGGCTTCAAGGAT